ACGTTGAAAACTATGGATGCATTTGCATGCTTGCATATATGTTACATATAGATATAATAGAAAATGGTAAGTCACTTTAGAATTCTTGGGTAGCTGAACCATTTAATTCAATTCATTTGAATTAAAAACCATAAAAATAGTATTTAATTAAAACATTTAATAAAATATTTGTGAGTTTAAAGATTTTTGAAATTGATGGGCTATTCAATTTATTTAAATTAAATTATTATGTTTTTTAATTAATGAGACTTTTTATTTGAGAAAGATAACATACGAAGTATCAAATACCTTATTCATTATTTTGAAAAAGGTCAAAATAAAAAATAAAAAAAAAAAAAAAACCTTGGCACTTTTATATGTAGTATGTATATATATATATGTATAGATAATTTATTTAGAAGGTAATTCTTGATACAATGGAGAAACAGGAATCAGGATATGAATTCATATATTAAACTAACTAATTTTTTTAAATATAATTTGAATTTAGATGGGCAATCAATAATTAATTACTTAGATGGGAAGTATTAATTAAATAGTGTGTCATAAAAATTGAAACATTGCACACATTAGGAAAGGTCACTTTGGTGTGCCCTTTTCAAATTTCACATTCTGAAAAAAGAAAAAATATATTTTATATACTTTTCAAATTTCATATATTTTATTATAAAAAAAAGTGAAAAATGTATGGAAACAGTAAAAAAAAAAAAAGTCTTGCACTTTTATACGTAGGATATATAGAGAAGGTAATAACTCTTAATTAATGCCTCTTAATTAAGGCCTTCCATAAAAAAGAAACGTTTAGGAAAAGGTAATAATATTAATAACAGTAATTTGTGAATGATTGTGCGCTTTTAATGTGACTTTTTTTTGAAAAGTCTTGCACTTTTCAAATTTCATATATTTTATTATAAAAAAAGTGAAAAATGTATAAATATATATATATATCCAAATTAAATTATCTATATATATACTACGTATAAAAGTGCGAGACCTTTTTTTTTTTTTTTTTTTTACTGTTTTTATACATTTTTCACTTTTTTTATATGAAATTTGAAGAATGTATCTGATATTTTATATATTTTTTCTTTTTTTAGAATGTGAAATTTGAAGAGACCATATATATATATATATGTTGTATAGAGATGTAGATTTGGTCAATTTGCAAATGGTTCTATTTAGAGACCAATGTTTTTTTTAAAATTTTTTAAAAACAGTTTCATTTTCTTTTAATTTCTAATATCCGTTATACAAACCCATTTTCGTTTACATGTGAAAAAAGAAAACAAAATAACATGTGATGCACCACTTTGTGTTGAATGATTTGCAACATAATTCAACCGACATCCAATTTGGTAAGTTTCAAGTTCTCAATCATTGAATTGCAAAAAAATAAAAATAAAAAATAAAATAACATAAAAATTAAATCATCAAAACTCAAAGATTACATAAAGAGGCACAATTGCGTATTTTTTTCAAACATTGCACAATTAAGTACTTACCTTATATTGTATTGCAATCTAATATTGAAAATCCCAAAATTAATACAATCTAAACCCAATTTGCATAGGAGTAACATTTAACAATTTTGAAATTTTCATTACAAATATGGAACGTTTGAGAAAGTAAATTTAAATCAACAATACAAATTAAGAAAAAAAAACACATGCTCTCTTTGTGTTGAATGATTATCCTTTTTCGCCATCAATTGGGTCCTTGCAACATAGTTTCAATCCTGGTACCACAAAATAAATAAATAAATAAATCATCAAAAATCAAATATACAAAAAGAGGCACAACTAAGTACTTACCTTGTATTGTATTGCAATCTAATGAAAATTATGAAATTAACACAAGTTAAACTCAATAAGTATTGGACTAACATTTAACAATTTGATATTTTCATTACAAAGATGAACATTGAAACTATGGATCCATTTGCATGCTTGCATACATGTTACATATAGATATAATAGAAAATGGTAAGTCACTTTAGAATTCTTGGGTAGCTGAACCATTTAATTCAATTCATTTAAATTAAAAACCATAAAAATAGTATTTAATTAAAACATTTAATAAAATATTTGTGAGTTTAAAGATTTTTGAAACTGATGGGCTATTCAATTTATTTGAATTAAATTATTATGTTTTTTAATTAATGAGACTTTTTATTTGAGAAAGATAACATACGAAGTATCAAATACCTTATTCATTATTTTGAAAATGGTCAAAATGTATAGAGAGGAGAAAAAAAAAACCTTGGCACTTTTATATGTAGTATGTATATATATATATATATATATATATATATATAGATAATTTATTTAGAAGGTAATTCTTGATCCGATGGAGAAACTGGTATCAAGATATGAATTAATTACTTAGATGGGAAGTATAATTAAATAGTGTGTCATAAAAATTGAAATATTGCACACATTAGGAAAGGTCACTTTGGTGTGGTCTCTTCAAAAGAAAAAATATATAAAATATCAGATACATTCTTCAAATTTCATATATTTTATTATAAAAAAAGTGAAAAATGTATAGAAACAGTAAAAAAAAAAAAAAAGGTCTTGCACTTTTATACGTAGGATATATATAGATAATTGAATTTAGAAGGTAATAACTCTTAATTAATGCCTCTTAATTAACGCCTTCCATGAAAAAAGATAATTTAATTTAGAAGGTAATAACTCTTAATTAATGCCTCTTAATTAACGCCTTTCATGAAAAAGAAACGTTTAGGAATAGGTAATAATATTAATAACCATAATTTGTGAATGACTGTGCGCTTTTAATGTGAGTTTTTTTGTGAAAAAAAAAAAATCAAAATAGTCAAAATGTATAGGAAAAAAAAGAAAAAAAAAAAAAAAAACCTTGGCACTTTTATATGTAGTATGTATATATATGTATAGATAATTTATTTAGAAGGTAATTTTTGATACGATGGAGAAACTAATATCATGATATGAATTCAAATATTAAACTAACTAATTTTTTTAAATATAATTTGAATTTAGATGGGCAATCAACAATTAATTACTTGAAGTATTAATTAAATAGTGTGTCATAAAAATTGAAATATTGCACACATTAGGAAGGTCACTTTGGTGTGGTCTCTTCAAATTTCACATTCTGGAAAAAGAAAAAATATATAAAATATCAGATACATCCTTCAAATTTCATATATTTTATTATAAAAAAAGTAAAAAATGTATAGAAATAGTTAAAAAAAATTCTTGCACTTTTATAGGTAGTAGGATATGAATTCATATATTAAACTAACTAATTTTTTTAAATATAATTTGAATTTAGATGGGCAATCAACAATTAATTACTTAGATGGGAAGTATTAATTAAATAGTGTGTCATAAAAATTGAAATATTGCACACATTAGGAAGGTCACTTTGGTGTGGTCTCTTCAAATTTCACATTCTGAAAAAGAAAATATATATAAAATATCAGATACATTCTTCAAATTTCATATATTTTATTATAAAAAGTGAAAAATGTATAGAAACAGTAAAAAAAACTCTCAATAACTCTTAATTAATACCTTCCATGAAAAAGAAACGTTTAGGAATAAGTAATAATATTAATAACCATAATTTGTGAATAATCGTGTGCTTTTAATGTGACTTTTTTTGTGGGGGAAAAAAAAAATCTAAATGGTCAAAATGTATGGGAAAAAAAAAACCTTGGCACTTTTATACGTAGTATGTGGATATATATATGTAATTTATGTAGAAGGTAATTCTTGATACGATGGAGAAACTAATATCATGATATAAATTCATATATTAAACTAATTAATTTTTTTAAATATAATTTGAATTTAGATGGGCAATCAACAATTAATTACTTAGATGGGAAGTATTAATTAAATAGCGTGTCATAAAAATTGAAATATTGCACACATTAGGAAGGTCACTTTGGTGTGGTCTCTTTAAATTTCACACTCTGAAAAAAAAAAATATTTAAAATATCATATACATTCTTCAAATTTCATATATTTTATTATAAAAAAAGTGAAAAATGTATAGAAACAGTTAAAAAAAAGTCTTGCACTTTTATAGGTAGTATATATATAGATAATTTAATTTAGAAGGTAATAACTCTTAATTAACGCCTTCCATGAAAAAGAAACGTTTAGGAATAGGTAATAATATTAATAACCATAATTTATGAATGATTGTGTGCTTTTAATGTGACATTTTTTTTTGAAAAAATAAAAATAAAAAATGTTAAGAAATTAGCTACACTTTTATAATAGTATAGATAGATAGATATAGATATAGATATAAATATAGATATACATTCTTGTTAAATACATGAATATCATGTAATATTTAATTAAAATCTCAAATATCATATTATGTGTTTAACAAATGTACAATATTTTATAAAAATAATTTAATATAAAATTTATTTATAATATAATTACTAATTTATTACGTAAGTTATTTTCAAATTCGGTATAATAAATTATGTAGTGTAATATTATAACTTATTTATGAATTTAACCATTTTATTATTGGTGTTAAAGAGTATTTAGTTATTTTTGGTAGCAAGGGTTGATGTTATTAAAATCATTAAAGCCATTTACGGTTAATTTTATCTGAAAATGAAAAGTGGTTGCATGATGATTTTAATAACATAAAGAGTAAAATTTCAAAACAAAAAAATAATATTAAATAAATAAAGTACATGAAAATTTTATAAATTTAATTAAAAAACAATTACTATTGCGATTGGCAATGGTAATTACCAAGACGACAACCGTCAATAAACAAGCGTGGTGATTGCGATTGGCAACAGGGAGTTTGGGAATTTATTACGGATAAAGGCAGTGTGGAATCGAACGTTTCTAACCGGATCTTCTTTCTTTTTTTATCTCGGGCAGATGACGTTAGGGATGATGTCAATAGTTTTGTAATCTACTTCTTCCACTTCCCAGCATGACACTTTCTCCACTTATATATATATATATATATATATATATATAATGCATGTAGTATAGTTATCTACATCTGTAAATTAACTTTGATCAATTCTTGCGTCGACCGTCGGTCCGTCACTTCCCCAACAGAACATTTGCTATTCTTCTCCCAGATTTAAGGGATGTCAGGCCCCCAGTGCTGCGAAAACCCACCAACACTCAGCTCAAGCTGTGGAGAGGGGCAGGTGGAAGAAATTGGAGGCCTCAAGTCCTACGTTTCTGGACCCTCTGATTCCAAGCTTGCAGTTGTTCTCATCTCAGACGTTTTTGGTACTCGATTCACTACTTATTTTGAGCTTTCTCTTCCAACTATGATTTGGGTATTTGAGTATTTTTCTTAATCTGGTGTGAAACTAGTCTCCTTGATCTATTTCATAGATATTAGATCTTGGGCTATGAATATGTGTTTGTGGGTTCTTAATTTGAATAACATTATGGTAACTTGAGAATGTAGGTCTATACCGACGAAAAGTGCTATTCTTTGTATGGTAATTAAGATATATATATTTGGCTGAATAATAATTAAGATATTTGCTATTTTACAAAGTGGAATTTTTTTTTTTTGGGGGTAAGTCAGTGGGTATTGTTTGTTTCATTTGCAACTTATTAACTGTGTGCGTAAGTCAGTGTGTTTATTGTGGTTATAAATCATGTCCACCTTTTATCAAGTCTCAATCTGTCTGTCATCAAAATCATCATCATGGCTGTTGTACTTGTGATATGAGTTATAATTAATTAAAAAAAAGAAAAAATAATCATCACTGTCATATCTAATGCACATGTATGAATTGATCTTGCAGGATTTGAAGCTCCAAAGTTGAGGTATTGTCAATTTTCAACTCTGCTTTTGCAACAATTCAGTGCATGTTTTGCTACTACTATTGTTTTTATACAATTTTTTATTTCATAAGTTTGTCAATTGTTTTTGTTTTTTGATGGTCTAGTCCTTGTCCTCTTAAACATAGCAGATTGAAAAATAATACTAATAATAATAATGGAATATATGGTTTGATGATTTAATAAAATCCTAACAATTCTACTGATATACAGTGGAAATAAGAGAGAGATAACTGCCATGTCTAAGGGAAAATGACCATTTAGCTTGGTCCTGCTGCTTAGATATTTTAATACTTCTATAATTATTCAATTATGTTTTCAGGAATTTCTATACTTGACGCAATTATCATCTAAAAATGCATAAGTATCTTGCCAATTGTATCTAAAAGATGCATAAATGTTTTTTTTCTTTCTAGAATGACTTCAAGAAATACAAAAACTACCTTTTCTTTTCATTTTTAATTTTTTGATAACCAGAGGCATTGCTATTTCTTGAAAACACACACAAAAAATGTGAATTACTTAGAGCAAACTGCATCCAAGATGCTCATTCTTTATTATCACTGAATTTCAAGTTCTCATTTGGATTAGCATAATTTTTTTAAAATGCCTCATATGAGTGTTGACCGTTAGTCAACAGCTTTGAAAGATGACGTCAGCCAAAAAAAAAAAACAATTGTAATCCCATTTCTAACTTTCAAAACTTTTAACAGGAAATGACATATTTGACCATATTTGAATATAATATAAAGGTAAAATTGCCCTTTGTACATACCAAGGCCTCTTTTCTCTCTTAGATAGTAGTAGTTGTTGGATTTTGTGGCTCGACTATGTATGCAGTGTTCTGGAGAAGATGGACTAGTCTAAGTTATTTGGACCGGTCCAATTGGAGTAATTTTTTTTTTTTACTTGGGTTAATTGGTTGGGTTTTAACATATGGTTTTATACTCCCTTTTTTGATATATAATACTGAAATCTCTATCCATGAACATAGCCTCAGAGTTGGGTGAATCATATAAAATATTGTTAGAGTAGGAAGTTGATTGTGAGGTGCTATGGAGAATGACACGAAGGTATCACGATGGTGTGAAGCCAATGAGGAATAAATTTTGGGGACATGCCAAAGAGTGGGTGTTAGTTCTCAAGATGGGGCGAAGGTGATAATATGAAGAAGAGGTTTGTTGCTTTCAGCTAAAAAAACAATTGATGAGGATGAGTTGATAGATTGGTGGGTTGCCATGTGTGACCAAATTGAACACCAATGGTGAGGTTCTTAAAGGAAAAGGAAGGATGAAGGAAAGAAAGGAGTTTTTTTTTTTTGTTTGAGGTGGAGAGATCTTCAGTCGAGGTGGAGCTATGGAGGAGTGCGTGAAGATGAATTTCGAACCAAGGTGGAAATTATTGGGTTTTGTGGTTCGAATTCGGTGTGTATGCAGTGTTCTGGAGAAGATGGACCAATCCAAGTTATTTGGGCCACTCCAATTGTAATTGATATGGCAACTCTTTGTAGGCAAGTTAGAGAATTCTTATCCTAACAATGAATGAGTTTGAAGACTATAAATAAAGATGGTGTGAGAGATTAAGGTAGAGAGAGGAAAAAGATGTAAGGTGTTTAAGGATGAGTATTATGAAGAAAAGGGAGAGTATATATAATTCTCAAGTGTAAAGATGTAGCGTCAAGAGCGTGATGAGTGAGAGTGAGTGGGGTTTTGACATCTGGTTTTATATTCTCTTCCTTGTTACATAATAGTGAAATCTCTCTCTCCATGGACATAGTCCTAGAGTTAGGTGAATCATGTAAAATATTGTGTTATGTGTGGATGTGTAGTTATCTCCATATATGCTTGTGTACTAATGATGCTTTTGCTGTATGTGATGAAGGAGGGATTTAATTCTAAACACCACCACCACCCATGAGCAAAAGAGTCGATTAAGGAGGGATTTACCTGTTGAGTGGGTTGGAGGAGTTAGTATCACTGATAATTGGTGTCAGCGCCGATGGTGGTTCAAAGCCTATGGTTGGTCCCGAAGATTAGAGCAGAAGGTTGGTGTGAATTTTGTCAAAGCAGGAGGTTGATCGTGAGGTGCTGTGGAGATTCAATAAGAGTTGATAATGACACGAAGGTATGATGATGGTGTAAATCCCATTAGGAACAAATTTTGGGGACAAGCCAAAGAGTGGGTGCTAATTCTTAAGATGGGGCGAATGTGATGGTATGAAGAAGAGAGGTTTGTTGCTTTAAGTCAAAAAAACAATTGATGAGGATGAGTTGATAGATTGGTGGATTGCCATGCGTGGGCAATTGAACTCCAATGGTGAGGTTGTTGATGGAAAAGGAAGGAAGAAGGAAAGAGAGAATAGTTTTTTGTTTAAGGGTGGAGGGATCTTCAGTTGAGGTGGAGCTATAGAGGAGTGCATGAAGACAAATTTTGAGCAAAGGTGGAAATTGTTAGGTTTTGTGGCTTGAATTCGGTGTGTATGCAGTGCTCTAGAGAAGATGGACCAGTCCAATTGGGGTGAAAATTAGTTAAGGAATTTGTAATTGATATGGTAACTCCTTGTAAGCAACTTGAGGAATTCTTGTCCAGCAAGGAATGGGTTTGAAGACTATAAATAAAGACAGTGTGAGATTTTAAGGTAGAGAGAGGGGAGAGATATAAGGGGTTTAAGGGTAAGTATTGTGAAGAGAGGGGGGAGAATACGTAGTTCTCTAGTGTAAAGATATAGCCTCAAGAGTGTGACAAGTGAGAGTGAGTGGGGTTTGACATTTGGTTTTATGTTCTCTTCTTTGATAAAATATTGTGTTATGCGTGGATGTGTATGATTGTTATCTCCACATATGCTTGTGTGATGATGCTTTCGTCGTGTGTGATGAAAGAGTGATTTAACTCTTAACAACAACCCGACCTTGAGTGGGTTGGAGGAATTAATATCCCTAACAGTAGTAATAGGAAACAAACATCTTATATATATCTTTTATATGTGTGTGTGTATATATATATATATATATATAGATGATTATATATAGGGTTAAATACACTAACCTCCCCTGAGGTTTGGCCTAATTACAGTCAGATGAAACTTGTCAAAAATCTTGCACCGTGTTCCCGAGAGGTTTAGTCACTTGTTACAAATACCCCCTCCATCCAAATAAAATGCATGATCTGACCAAACCCGCTGACTCAGCTGAAAAGACTTTATTAACCTGATGATAGACATTAAATTACAATAAAATATCTTCTTTATGGAAAAAATACCCTTCTTCACCTACCCACCCATCTCCGCCGTCGCCCCTTTCTTTATCTCTTCCATGGCCAACCATTGTCTCAGTCCACACGCCGCCACCCCTTCTCTCTCCAAATTTATAAACTAGTAAACAATATATATATATATATATATATATAGAGAGAGAGAGAGAGAGAGAGAGAGAGAAATGAAGAACAAAGTTACAAATTCACCTGTTGCTTTATGGTTGCTGGGTTCATTCCCATCAATTCCTTTGTAATATATGTAAAGGTGATGGGTTCCTCCCAAGAATTACTTAGTTTATACACAAAATATGTTGTAAACTAAGTAATTATTGGGAGGAACCCATCACCTTTACATATATTACAAAGGAATTGATGGGAATGAACCCAGCAACCATAAAGCAACAGGTGAATTTGTAACTTTGTTCTTCATTTCTCTCTCTCTCTCTCGCTCTCTCTCTCTCTGTCTCTCTCTCTCTCACTCTCGCTCTCTCTCTTTATATCTATATATATATATATAACCCATTTGCAACTTGCTCTTAATTCTCAGCAACCATTTGCAATTTTGCTCTTTATTTCTCTATACACACACACATGTCCATTGGAGCTTAAGATTGATCCATTGGGAATAAATTGATGGCCATTGAAGAGTGATAAAAATTGAAGAGAGAGAGATTCAATAGATGTGCCGAGGGTGTTGCAACAATCATAGTAAAGAGAGAAATTGTAGAGAGAGATTAGAAGAAATTGAGCTTAGAGAATAAATTCAGTAAAGAGGGTGTTGCAACAATCACACTATTGCTCATATTTTTGTGTGCTTTTTTGTGGATGGCGACGTTGTAGATAATAAAGGCGTTCATTCATTTCTGGAGGTACAAACTTTGATGTTGAAGCTGAGGATGGAAGAAATAGAGGAAACAAACTCTTCTCTGCAGAATAATAAGCAGAAAATGAGACATTCAGGTGGTAATGGGGGTGGGTATGGGGGTAGATTTGGAAGCCGTGGTCGTAATGGTGAAGACCGTGGACGGCAAGGAGGTTTCAATGGGCGAATAGGTGGTTCTTTTTGGGGTTTCTACTCAAGGTATGGTGGTCGTGGTGGAGCTGACAGCAATTTTGATGGTTATGGCGGACAAGGTGGCCACGGAAGATGGGGTTTGGGATTGGATTTGGCAGGGAGAGGAGAGAGAACAAAGAGGGAATAAGATCTTTAGGCAAATATGTCATTTTATTTAATGAATTTTTTAAATCGTTTTATTATTAAAATAATCGGGGTACAAAAGTAATTTTATCTGAATTTTAACTTCTGTAAGATCCAGGGGAGGTCATTGCAAGATTTTTGACAAGTTCCGAGCGTAATTAGACCAAACCTCTGGGGAGGTCAGTGTATTTAACCCTAAATATTATCTCTCCAAATTTGCTGTGTGGTGATATTATGCTAATTGGAAAAAGCAATCTGAATTTCTTCCACTTTAATCTTCATGGTTTACTTTTGAATTATTATTATTTTTCCAATTTGAATAGTGTTCAAGAAAATTCCAAATAAAAAATTTAGAGAAGTGGAATAGGTCAATTAGAAAACGAACAAATAAAATTTGATTAAAACATATTAGAAAAACCTTAATTAAACAGTATCAATTAGGGCAAGTTGGGCAACATAGTTTTGTGCCTCGGGTTCCATAATTATCTCTATAACATTGTGTAATTGTTTGAGGGTTCATTCTTTGCCCTGCCTTCACCGACGCGGACATTATTGATCAAACATGAACTTTAGGGTTTCAATTGCATATATAGAGAGATATATCACCGATTCGATGAAACCCATGTGGAAGAGAAACACAAAATGCATCACTTCTCGGTGTATATATGCATTTATGTACATATACGTGTTCATCCGTTTTGGATTTAGAGAGAGAGAGACGAAGCCTTCAAAGTGACGAACGGATGAGGGATTGATAGTGGATGAGGAGAGAAATTGAAAAGTAGTAGGTTTTGGGTTATGAATGTTTGGGTGCCTATGTATATATGTGTATGTGTATATATATATATGTATTTGTGTTGAATCTGGTTTTGATATGAGAGGGAGATGCTAGAGAAAGAGATGGTAAAAGAACTTTTTATATTTGAAAATGGATATTTTAGTCTTTTTAAATTTGATTAACTTTTCAACTATAATGATATTAACCAAACAAGAGCATAGTGGTAATTGCATTATTACTATTAACGGAGTCAGCCGACAAGCTCTGACAGGGGAGGTCGGAGTAATTTCTGAAAACTATGTGGTACTTTGTGTAGGTTTAGCGATCTAGAGGGGAGGTCAGTGTAAATTACCCGATTTTCAAAATTGTTAAATTTGTGCCAATGTGCCATTTGTGGCCTTGTGCTGGTGTTTGTGTACCCTTTGGGTGTCACGGTTTAGTGAGTGATATCTCCATCTCCTTCTTGTGAATTTGGGAACTGAGCTTGTCAAACCTCTTAAATAGCCAAGTAATTATTGTTAGGCCTGTGTCAACTGATTTTCACACTCTCAACATTGTCATATAGTTTGACAATAAAGTGTCATTTGTCAACTTATTTTACTTATGCCTTTGTTTTTCAACTGTGAAGGAAGCTTGCTGACAAAGTCGCAGCTGCTGGATTCTATGTGGTTGTTCCTGACTTCTTCTATGGAGACCCCTACGTACCTGAAAATGCTGAAAAGCCAATATCAGTATGGTTAAAAGAACATGGAACGGTTAGTTATCTTCATTATACTACATGCCTGGAAACTGCTACTTATTTATATTGTGAAAGTAGTTTCCTTTGAACATATTTTCCTTTAGGGTTTGCTGGAAATTTAACATTTAGAGAAATCCAAAATGTGGGTTGACTCAGCAGACCCATTCATTTTGGGTCTCCTTGAAGAAATGAAGTTTCTGTTTTTCAAATAATACTGAATGGTGTTTCTTCCTTTTTGGCGAATAAAATCAGTGTCTTCAATTGTTTAGTTTTCAAACTCGAATAAAGTTTTGATTAATTGTAGCTTACACATTAGTGTCTAAAATATTTTCTTACCTTATAGGATAAAGCATTTGAAGATGCAAAACCAGTTATTGAAGCTCTAAAAAGTAAAGGTGTATCCAGTATTGGAGCTGCAGGCTTTTGTATGGGTGGTAAGATTTTTCCTGCACAGCCTTCACGAATTTAGACAATATCATATTGCAATTAATTTCTGCAACTAGACAGGGCTTAAAAATCAACAACTTGACTAAAATTGAACTTTTTGAATTCTCTCATCAGCTAAGGTCGTTGTGGAATTAGCAAAGCATGCTTATATCCAAGCTGCAGTGATGCTACATCCGTCATTTGTCACTTTGGATGATATCCAGGGTATGAATTTTGTTACTAAACTTTCCTGAAATTACTTTTTGATTTATTTTGTCGGACCCAGAATTTTAAAGTAGACCTCTGTAATTATTCATAGAAGCAATTGTGTTGGTCCTTTGTGAATTTTATTTGAGCGAGTGTATCATGAGGGTGCATGCTCTTACCGTGAGCTAGCTTGTGCCATTGACCATTTGGATTGAGAGTGCATACATCACAGTATCTTGACGGTTGATAGCACGGTCATGATAACTTTTTCATTTATATGAAACACATATAACCTTCTAGGTATTTATATATTGTTTTCCTTCTTAATGGTGGTGAGCATGACGTGTATTTATTATTTTTTTTTGTGAGTTGGAGGAAACAAGAAATTTGTTTATTTACAGTTGCCACAATTTTCAGGGGTTAAGGTTCCAATTTCAGTACTTGGAGCTGAGATTGACCAATTTTCTCCACCAGAACTTGTGAAACAGTTTGAGGGGATCTTAAATGCTAAGCCCGAGGTATGAAACTCCAAAACTTTCCATGTAACACTAAAGAAAAATATTTCATATTGCCCATCCTCAAATTATTGTTCACATACCTTTATAACTTCAATAATCTTTTCCTTTCTTTATTGGCAATAGAATATTCAAATAAGCCAAGAACCGTGTTGCCTAGACTTTCCTATTCTCCTTAATGTATTTGTGCCGACACAACGTGATACGACATGGGTATGGGTATGACGTGTCAGACACACGACCCAAATTGGACCCTTGGATCTTTCGATCTTCTTAAAGGAAAAGAAAAGCCCAATGTGATAGCAAAGAAGGATTACCTGATTCTGACATAGATGGAATTTATCTTTTTTTTTTTTTTTTTAATCATATTCCGTTTAATTTCGTTAAGAATGCAAGACGTCTCTACATACCCTTATTCAGGTTCTGAACGCATTTTGAACCTACTTCACATATCTTAAAATTTGGGATCTAGGGGGCGGTCTGACATTTGGACGCATACTTATACCTCATACATATACCCAAGTCCATGTAACATAAGCCAAAAACTGACAAGGAATTTATGTTTTATTTTCTGTAAGTGTTGTTTTAGATACATTTATACTCACAAGTCTCACATACTTCCTGAGGCAGAAGTGACTATGAAAGCTAGAAAATGTGTTTACTTTTCACTTGAACTCTGCGAATCTATCACATTGATTTTGTACTTTTATTAACTTCATGATTGTTTTTAATTTGTAGTTTCTTTTTTTCTTTTTATTATTATTATTATTATTTTTTATTAGTTAAAGATGCCTTTATTTTGGTGTGCATGATTATCTTGTTCAAAAAAGAAAAAAAAAAAAATGATGGTGGGAAGCTTTTCAAAATTGACCATCACTGTCAACTTCAATTTGTGGTAACTTTATCAATAACCAGATTGTGGTATGTTCATTTTTGCTACATACTAAAGTGACAATCAACTCCACTTTTTTGATCCACAATTATGGCCAGGATCTTAAGTATTGCATGGATGCATGTGTGCGACTCTATGCCGCCTCAAGACTTTTATTTTCTTAATTTTTTTAGTTTATATATATATATATATATATAGAGAGAGAGAGAGAGAGAGAGAGAGAGAGAATACTCGGTAGAGTGTTGACAAATATTGAATATACCTTTCGTTGGGGTGGGGGCTCCCCCATCCTTTTTTTTTTTGGGGTAATTGTCTCCCCCCATCTTTCCATAAGGAAATCCATTGGGGGGGGGGGGGGGGGGACATAACTGTCATTCGCTAGGGGGGGGGGGGGGGGGGGGGGACATAACTGTCATTCGCTAGAGGGACTGAAAGATGCTTTGGATTAGTCGTTACGGTCAGATTTATGATGGATTTGGTGATAGGCCATCTCCGACTAAGAGATAGATCCTGCCCAATCAGCATCAGTATATCCTTCCACTTAAGGGTTCTTCAAGAGAACCCATAAATACCTTTGTCGATGTTCTAAGTTTGCAGTACCTACTAGAGCATTACTAAAACATCTACAGGGAAATCAGAAAAGAAATAGATTGGAATATATGTATTAGGTTCAGATATTACTTAAGGGTCATTGTTTTGTGCAATGGTAAAAATATGCCCAGACTCTGTACTCCGAGAGGTAGGTTTGGGTACAAAAGAATTAGACATTTTTTACTAGATACACAAATAAAATTAGACATTTTTTAAAAATGTCTAATTTTATTTGTGTATCTAGTACATCCCTCCCATCTCCCTCGTTGGCAGAACGGGTAGGTCCGGTACGCTGGGTAATATGTTTTTATTTTTTGGTAAAACATCTCTTGCTTTAAGGTAGTTATTGCAAATCATATTCTCAGACATGGTTGGCATTTGTGTTTCAGTCAAGAAATTAAGACGCCAAATTAAAAAAAAAAAAAAAAAAAATAGGAGAAAGAAATCACAGATATATTATTTTTTCCAGGTTGATGGCTTTGTAAAGATATTTCCGGGGGTTGCGCACGGTTGGACCATGAGGTACAAGGATGAAGATGAAGAGGAGCTGAAGAATGCAGAAGAAGCCCACCAGGATATGTTGGATTGGTTTGGTAAGTGTCTTTAGGAAGACTATAATATGTAATAATCTGATGTGTTGTTATAGCACGTCTCATGTCATTGTAAGAGATGGCTGTGTTGGCTTGAATATGAAAGGTTTTTTGAATACTAGAATTATTTGAGACGATTATATGCAATAATTTCACTATTGTAAGAGACAGGAATGAATGAATAATCCTTAAGTACTGCAATTATTGAGATGGTTGGAAGTTGGAGCCACTGGGATTTTTTTGTTTGACTTGAATATGAATAGTCCGTAAGAGCTTCATTTTTGAATTGCTTGTATGATTTTATTTTAACGTACTTTGATTATGATTTTTCCTATGGAGAACCATTTTAATATGAAAGAATTTTTGGACTAAAAATGTGTAAATTTTATAAGAGAGCAAATAGTAACTGTCTTGAGGCGTGCATTTGATGACAATCTTACTTTTCAAAATAAATTAATTGATTATTTAAAGATGTGTATTTTGATGAAATTTAGATAATAAAAAATAAGTTTTCACTCGAAATAGCATAACATTTTAAAAGATGGAGCATAAAAAAGGTAGCCAATTTACGTTTACAACTAGCAAATTCAGTTCTTAAAATGTTCATTTAAAAAAAAGAAAAAAGAAAAAAAAATAAGCAAATGGCAAAATAAGTTATCTCATCAAAAAGCGTTGTTTATGTTTAATATATATTTAGGGATTTTTACATATAAATGTACTTATGGAGCCATATTTACTATATGGTTAAGTCAAAGTATGATAGTTTCAATAAAATGAGGTTGACCCAAATGCTGATGTGTATATGAATTTTTACTGTTTATTTTAATTTCTTACCTAAAATACCCTTTTTACTTTTGAATCAAATTACATTACTACCCCCTTTCTCTTTCCTCTTCGGCAGTTCGTTTTCTCTCTACTCTCTCTCATCAGACCAAATCTCATTATACCGCCCCTTTCTCTATGGCCATTCTCTCTCTACCCAACTGAAACCCAACAATTCAATCTCCTACCACTCTCTCTTTAAATTGAAAATTAGAAGCAAAACAGAGCTTAAGTATCATTTTGGCCCTACCTGGTACGAACTGGGTCTTGCAACTCTCGCCGAAAGTAAGCCCGCCGCCTCTTATCTTTTCCTTCCATCACATACATATTGCAGACACACCCATCATATACATCACACATATATTTGCACACACAGAGGTATATATATATATATATATGGGTAAATACATATATGTACATGTATATATAACAGAGAACATGAGAGATGGTCGACGACCATCGCAACGTGGCGAGCTCAAAACGGCGGTGGCCCTCCATGATTTCGCGATGTTCCACAACAAAGTTCACCAGTCACTACCACCACAAAGGCGGCGCCGTAGAGCTCGGATCGTCGCACCCGCCGTTCGCTGTGGGTCGAATCAAGATCGGGCTGTGGTCGTGGAACTGGGTTCGAGGAGCGTCGTGACCGGAATCGTTGCTGTCTCAGGCCTTTCGTTGTGGGTCGAATCAAGATCGTGATCCATGGTCGTGTCATCGGGTGACGATTGAGAGGTTGGGTATGGGGTTGATGATGAGGGCGATTGAGGAGGAATTGAGGGTGATATGGTGTATCAAACTTCTGTTGTCATAGAAGACCTCTGTTGTTGGGTTTCTTTGTGGAGAGAGACTGAGAGAGTCCATAGCGAAAGGGGACTGTTGAGAAGAAAAGAAGTTTTGGTCTGATGAGAAAGAGTAGAGAGAGAAAATGAGCTACGGAGGAGGAGAGAGAAAGGGCCAGTAATGTAATTTGATTCAAAAGAAAAAAAAAAAAAAAGGATATTTTAGGTAAGCAATTAAAATAAACAGTAAAACCCATGTCCACGTCAGCATTTAGGTTAACCTCATTTTATTGAAACTATCCAACTTTGACTTAACCCAATAGTAAATATGGCTTCATAAATACATTTATATGTAAAAATCCCTTATATTTTTATTTACTCCAATACTTCGGTTACACACTCACAAACTCAACTCGATTTTCTCTTTCTACAATTATCTCTCCTCTCTTTATTTCTCCTCTTCTCACACCTCCTCCTATACTCTCTCTCACAAGTTGGTGTTGGACTCACTTGCGTTACTTCTACGGTTCTACCCTTAGAGACGCGCCAACGCAAAGGTTTCCTCCTTCTGTAGCAGTGTTTCGAGGGCCTGTTTGGCTAAACAAAATTTCAGAAATTAGTTTTTTTTTGCTTCTTTTTTGCATTTTTTTTTTTACTCTTCTCCCCTACATTGTTTAATTTTTATAATCTATAATAAATATTAAATTATTTAATTTTTTTTTTTTTTTTGTATGTTGTAGCCGTTAAAAATATAACCATTAAGAAAAAGTTAAAAAATATATATTAAATTTTTAAAAAAATATTAAAATAGAAATAAAAAATGTACTATTAAAAATTTAAAATACTGTTCAATCATTTTAAAAAATGTTGAGCATCACTTAAAAAACTGCAAAGATATTTATAGGCAACATTTGATGCATTAGTCGACAACCCATTTCATGTGCTCACAAATACTGTTTATTTTCTTCTTTGCATTTGATGCTCACTTTGACTTTACACATTACTATTCCTTTTTACTTTATACTGTTGCACACCTTTTTCTTTTGAATTCATCACCATTTAAGATAAAGTGCACTAAATTATCCGAGCTACAACCCAATTACAAGAAATTCCCTAATGTAAGTAAAATTTCCTTAAGCTATCAAATTATTGCAATAGTTAGTAGGCCGTTAACAGAAAATGTAAATTATTATTTGGTCCTTAAATTAAATAACACCGTTTTGAGTTCTATCCAACTTTGACTAATGATGTGGCAAAACTGGGTATATTGTACCAAAAAACCTTTATTTTTTAATCTGCCACCTCATAAAAACCTAAGCGTTTATGTAATTTTAAAAAGGAAAAATTACATATAAATGGAGTCAAAGTTTCATATTTACTTAGAGGCTGAGTCAAAGTTCCATATTTCTTTAAAATAGATTGCTGAGGTGGCACATGGTTTTTTACTGTTTAGAAATTGTGATGCCTAAAATACCCTTCCACGAAGGTACTACTTTTTCTTCGAAGGTACTACTTTTTTGAACTAAAGGTACTACTTTTTGGCGTTCAGGTACCATGTTTTTTAAACACCCGCGAAGGTACTACTTTTTCTCCGAAGGTACTACTGTTTTGCACTGAAGGTACTACTTTTTTGTTAGGGAAGGGCATTTTAGGCACCACAATTTTCTAAACAGTAAAAAATCATGTGCCACCTCAACAATCCATTTTAGAGAAATATGGAACTTTGACTCAGTCTCTAAGTAAATATGGAACTTTGACTCCATGTATACGTAATTTTCCCTTTAAAAAAACTAACAACCCTAACTTCTCTCTCATGCGCATCTCTCCTTCCCTTCCCTCCCCTTCACGTTCTCTCCAAATTGTTGACGGAGACGATGAGAACTACGGCTAGAGGAGAGGTTACAGAGATTAACGCCAAGCCCAGACCAATGCCCCCACGATCTTCTGCCAATGACGTAAAAATTTGAGGCCGTGGGTGATAGGTTTGACTACACAGTCCAGGAATTCGCGGATGAGGCGGTCGAGTGATGGTTTGGTGAATTGGAGGCGTTGCGACCCTTGGAGAGAAGGGGATCGGCAGAGGAAGGGGTTTCAACAGTAGAGGAATCAATGGTGGTGGTGGTGGGGGCGACGCCTCCATTTTCTTTATTAGTTGATTTCTACTGTCGATTGTGGGTTTGGGGATAGTGGGGGTGGTGGCACCGCGATGGTGGTAAGGTGGGAATGCTGGTGGCATCGCAGTGGTTGTAAGGTGGGAATGGTGGTGGCAGTTATAATGATGGGATGGTGGCGCGGTGGAGGCCTCGTGGTTGTCTATCTCCATTGATTTCTGTTGCCGATTGTGGGTTTGGGGATAATGGTGGTGGTGACGCCGATGTGGGGGTGATGGTACCGTGGTGGTTGTAAGGTAGGAATGGTGGTGACAGTTACAACGATGGGATGGTGGTGTGGTGGAGGCCTGGTGGTTGTCTCTCTCCGTTGATTTCTGCTGCCGATTGTGTGTTTGGGGAAAGTGGTACGTGGTGGCGACACTGGAGTGGGGGTGATGGCACCGTGGTGGTTGTAAGGTGGGAATGGTGGTGGCAATCACAATGATGGGATGGTACGTGGGGTAGTGGAGGCCCGATGGTTGTCTCACTCCCTTGATTTCCCTACCGATTGTAGGGATAGTGGTGGTGGCGACGCCGGTGTAAGGGTGGTGGTACCGCGATCGTTGTAAGGTGGGAATGGCGGTGGAAGTTACAACGATGGGATGGTGGCACGGTGGAGGCCTGGTGGTTGTAGTAAGTTGCTGATGGTTTTCGCTCTCAACTGCTATAAGGTCAATTGTCTTTTTAAAATTTTTGCCCTCTCACGTGACCCACATGCCTTAATTTCTGTTAGATTTCTAACGGGGTTTAAACATTTTGCAACAAACTGATAATTTAGGGGTTCCAAAAAAAGAAGGCTTTAATCAGTTCAGTGCACTTTACTATTTATCAATAATGATTTATTCATATGCATCAACACCTACATCATGAATTTTAGACGTGTGAAAATCTTTATCATGTATTGCACATGACACCCTCCACGTATTCTTAGATATTTTCCTATGAAGCACCGACACGTGAGAATGGACTGTAGTACCGGTGTCGGACACACCGGTGACACGCTAGGACACGGGTTCAGATTTTTTGTCAAAAAAAAAAAAAAAAAAAAAAGAAGATAAAGAGATATATACAAGTATATGGTTGTGTGTATTTATAGAAAGACAGATGGAGGGAAAGAGATGGAGAATATGAGAAAGAAGATTGATTGGAGATTACAGGTTTTGTGCATCTACTTCAAGCTTTGGATCAAGCAAGTAAGGCAAGGCTAGTTCATAGGATGATCCGATCCAAGCGAAGCCAAGGAAATTTCCTTGAATCAGCTCTCACTATAACAATTATGGTCTTTAACAACAATTTTATTTGCTATTAGAAGTAAAAAAAAGTGCTGCTATAGCTACTTGATAGGCAGTGTTTGTATTTGTTGTCATAACCTGTGTCGCAATAGGGATGGCAGCAATTGTATCTGCTGTCATATATAAAAAACATATGACAGCAAATATAAACGCCGCCAAAAATGACACTTTTTTTTTTTAAATGATATAACAATATATTTAAATGAAGCGAATTTAAGGAAAATTCAAATTCTTATAATCAAGGTCAATCCATTCATAAACCAAATTTTTTATGAAATAAACTCAATTCACAACAAAGTTGAGAAAAAAAAAAAAAAAAAGGAATTACAATGCATTTATTAGTGTAGCTATGTCTCAATAACAAGGGAAATAAAAGATTTTTAATGTCTCATCAAATTGTTTAAAAAGAAAAAGAAAAAAAGGGGGAGACTATGTATATCCTCCAAGTATCATCCTTCTCTACGAGCAACCTGAAATAAAACATATAACGTATTAGAAACCAATAACTAAATTTTGAATTAATACAAACAACAATTATGCATCAAATAAGTCCGAAATAGAAGAAGGAAACAATCAGATCACAAAAATAACAGAATGAGCCAAGAGGTGTCATCATCAACATCAAGCAAGTCTGACCTAAGATTCTGTTGTGGGCCGCTCTTTATTATCTGTATGAATACCTTTTCATTATTTCGACACACTATAACTATATTTTCTATTGCAGAAAGTGAAGAAAGGCTTACATGCAGTTTATCTACACATCATGTTCACAAAAAAATAATGCATAAATTATATCATGTCAATATTAGAATGATCTCATTGTACAATTTAATGGAAGCAAATACTGCTCACTTCTCACCTGAAGACAGCAGTAGTAGAAGATTATCCCATGCCATTCCCAATGAGAAACCAAATCAACCAATGCCAGACATGTCAAATGCACAAAAAAGGAAGCCCTGCAGCCAATGAAGAAATATATGATGAGAAGATTAAAATTTGTATGCATTAGACACGACATCCATAAAAAAATATTTTTACAATGGACGTGCCTTTAAACAGAGTTGCAAATTGATGAGGAGAAGCTCAATATAACTCTGTTATATGCAGATTGAGTTTCATCTTTGTCATCCACCAAGTCATCATTCTCTATATATAACCTGGAAATAAAACATTTAACCTATTAGAAACTAACAATTATTATTTTCTAGTTTCATATCACCAACCATTTTCAAGTTCTGCTCTAATATTACAAAAATATTGCAGCTACAAATGAAATTCCAATCAAAGCTTCAAACTACAGAGTTTATCATTTTCAAGTTATGCGCTCTTGCTCCCATTATGTGTGGCTTAGGTAGTTTTATTGGCACTACTGTTTTCTATGCATAATAATAGATAGAGTGGTAAAATCCAATACAACAGATAGCATCAGCTGAGACTAGCATCATTTCTAGGCACATAAACTGTTGCATTATCAGACATTTCAATTGTACAAATTATTTTGGAATACACTTTAGATAGTCCAAAAGTACATGGACCTCTATAAATTTCAAATCAACTCCAAAATAAAAAATAATAATCAAGGAATTAACCTAAATAATGATCCCCATTATTCAATTAAAAATGAATTCCAGACTCTCTTTTGACGTCCGGCCGGTTGCAGATAAACCAAAAATATGATGCCACTTCGGCTGGTAGTTTGGCATATAAGCTAATTTTATAGTACACCTTGTCTACAAAGGACCTAAAACTATACAAACCCTTTTCTCCCTGTCATCTACATTGCTCGTGCTGAGATTATCTATGAAACAACAGTCACTACAATAGTGGGTTGCTGCTCACTTCAAAATGCCCAACAATAGAAAAAAAAATAAAAACCAGTTGAAATCCTGAACCCTAGGATGAAATTCAAAGCTTAATTCTAGCATATGAAATGTTGTGTGATTATATACTAAGCTATGGTCTAGGCCAAGGACAACAAATGGCAGGATATAGAAGTAAATTAAAATGATAACTCCATCTGTTAACATTTTCATTCTACTAATCAGGTGCATCATATTTTATCATTGACCTTGATTAATTTGTGGCTTCCCCAAAAAAATGGTAAAACATGGCTGCAAATTGAATCTCAACAAATCCAATAACTACTGAAAATTGATATACACAGCAATGTGTTTAGCTAAACATAATATGATACCCCATTTAGCAAGAAAATCCTTATTACTTCATTTTACTAAAATAAGATAATTTAAATTATACTTACATAAGCAGAAGGCCAAGAAACGCTAGCTCCAGCTTATCTCCAATAGTTTTGAAATGTGCAGAAGCAATAGGTAGTGGTTCTTCTCGCATGATTGGAATGGTAACACTTACTTCCCAATTATGATGTCCCAATTCAATGCCCCTTACTTTTGAACGTGGGTTCTTACTCAAAAGAATTCCTCAAGCTACTATGACATCGGGCTTTTTGAGACTTAACAAAAAAACTTCACTCATGCCCTATTAAAACAAAACAAAATTTCAAGTTAATTAAAATAATTCAAGATAAATCAAATGCACATCACGTTAGCTATATCCATTAAGGAGAGGGTAGATTATAATGAGATAGACTTGATGAGGTAGATTAGAATAGGATAGAATGATTACTTGTCACCTTTTCATTGTCTGAGAACGAGCAACAAATTGTTCATTTGGAGCAGTTTGTTGGTATAGGTTATACCCACTATCCATCTGGCTCTACCCAAAAATGAGGTTCAGTTAAATGATAAAAAGATAAGAAAACTTTTGAAATTTATCATTTTGCTATGAAGTTACCTGACGAGTATTAATAGGGTCAGTTTGAGTGGAATATGAATATTGTTCAGTATAAGTTGCGGGTTGGTTTTTGTTATCTCTACCATCCATCTGGACCTGCATTCCAATTCTTAGTTGTTTCATTTTTGTTTGAAGCCCTAATGCATTATGATAATTGATGGATAATAATGTAACATCAATGAAGAGCATTATCCATTGCTTTATTATATCGGAGGTTTTCACTACCTGCTATCTTTTCATAGGCTGACTCAATTAAAGCATAAAAACATGTGGCGTGAAAACCTTGAGGACCAGCAAATGCAATTTTGAACTCAATTATTCTGCAAGTGGTCCATTTTTCTTGTGACATGTCATTTAAAGTGAAAACTTTGATCGCATATAAACATAGCCTTGGTTGGGGACCATTTCCATTAACAGGTATTATTCAGCCCTAAGGAGAGAAGAAGACACACAGTAAGAACTCGGAGAGAAGAAGACACACAGTAATAGATGACGGCGCCTCTCCCTACCCCCAGTTTCAGTGAAGTGCTACACTCAATGGAACAAGATCCAAATGCTATGTATCACATAGCAGACTATTACATTTCAATGTGGGATCTGAATACAATTTTTGTCAATATCAAATTTAGGGCTCACCAAATCAATGTCTTGAATGCATTTTCACACTATTCATATACACATGTGTGAATTTGTGCATTTCAAATGACATTTTAGGTATGACAAAAATCTATAAAATTTATCAACAGTCATTCTCACAGTCTTTTGTTCTGAACAATAATCAGATCCCACATTTTTTTAGGAGCATACGTGAATAAAAACAAACACAAAGGTGGTGCATGTACTGGTAATCACATAAATTTAAGATTTTAGAAAAAGAAAATTGCTAAAAAAGTACAGTACTTTTCCTAGAAAAATCAATATATCACTGAACCCAAAAAGACTGTTATAATTGGTAAAAAGATAAGGAAGCTTTTGAAATTTATCATTTGTCTATGAAGTTACCTGATGAGTATTGGTGGGGGCAGTTTGAGTGGTTTTTATTGAAATAATTTTCAAAGATTCATATACCTCCAGTTTTAGTAGTACTGCAATTTTGAGAAGGTATTGACTGTTCCAGATTGGAGGTAGACTGATTTTGTGTAGGTAAAAATTGTTTTTGTATGGAACTCGTATGTACAGTTTGCAGAATGAACAACATAACTAATGAAATAGGTAAAATCCAACTCTTATATAGACAGATCATGCACAAGACAAAATTCAAGCAATTTTCATAACAAAAAAGTTAATGTAATGGACATGGTTGATAAAGCTTTTAATGAAGGCGATATGTATAGCAGGGTTACTAAATGGTTCCTTCATGAGCACATGCATTCAATGAATCCTTTTAGCAGCAAGTAAGGAAAGGCCATCATCTAGTGTTGGTTACATTGTGCTGCGGTGTTAGGAGAGTAGACACTCTTCATGTAATTCATATTACATTCTCAAAGAAGAAATTTCCACATTTCATAAATACTAATGGTGAACAATGCTAATGCTGGTCACAAAAAGGAAAACCACAGGTTGCAATTGTGAACAATACTAATGCTGGTCACAAAAAGGAAGAAGAATGAATGCTTTTTTTTGCCACACAAGTCTATACAAAATTATATACAGCAAAAGTTTGTATATAAAGATTTCAGATGCAAAGCTAAACAAAGCAATGAATCTACATAACATGTCAGCAACAGAGCATACTACCATACTACGGAAGGTGAAAATTGTAAAGGAAACAATATTAAATCGGATAGACTTAATATACTAGAGTCCTCTAACAGTAAAAAACGCGAATTACATCGCTATATATATGTGTACACAGAGACGGAGAGGCCAAACATCATACCTAAGTTCTTGCAGAAGGAGACGAAAGATGAAGATGTCTAACTCTGATACCTAAGCTAGGGTTTCTTATAAGATTAACATAAATCCCCAATTAAAGCATGAAATCCAACAAAAACAAAGCAATATTGATGGAATTTACCTGCAAGTGGATAGACTGATGAACTCAACAGTTTTGTTTGGCGATGATTGTTGGCCTGTTTTGGCGGATCAGATGTCGATTTGGCTCCCAAATCAAATAACACAACAGAATATATGCTCAAATAGCACAATCGGGACTGTGTTCGTAGTATAATTTTGGTAGATCAAGCTCTCCATTGAAGAGCGAGGAGCGAGGAGACCAGTCTGAGTCGAGCTAGAGAGAGAGAAAGGAGTACTGGGGGTAGAGAGAAAAAGCGAGGAGCGACGAGAGAGAAAACGATGAGCGGCGAGAGAGAATTGGGGGTAGAGAGAGAAAGTGGGGAGTGAAAAAAGAAAATTGGAAAATGAAAAATGAAAAAAGAAAAATAAAAAATGAATAATGAATATGAAAAATGACGCGGCATTTTTTTTTTTTTTTACTTCTAACGGCATTTTTTATGAAGTGCTTTTAAAAATGATTTTTTAACAGCATTTTTTTATTTTTGCTGCTAGACCCATCCTTTTTTGTAGTGTCTCCTTTTGCACTCCAGCATGTATTCTTGCGAGTGAGAGCGCTTCTGTAGCGTTTTTCCTCTGCTTCCTTAAAAGATCACTGCATAAAAAAAATGCAATAAAAAGAGAAGTGATAAAATTGTGATAAGATTGCACTCTTATCTGTTAGGATATTTGGACTTATATTTTCAAGGTATTTGAACCTATATTTTTCAAGAGAGTAATGGACTTAAAAGTTGTGTTTATTAAATACTCCGTATAAATTAGAAATTGAGTATAACTTTGTTCTTCTTTCTAGCTACCTAATTCAAAAGCAGATGACCAGAGACAAGATAGATATATATATATAGAGAGAGAGAGAGAAGGCTTATTAACTAAGTTTGCTAATGGTGCACGTCTCTGTCCATCTAGCTATATATAGAAATGTCGGTTTAGAGGGACACCGGTACATAGAAAATATCTATGAAGCATTAGAACTGTCTATCTAGTTCGCTACCATTTGACTTCTTACTTGTACATAGAAAATATCTACGAAAAAAACAAGATATACGGCAATAAAATAATGTCTTGTATTTGGACCTATATTTTTTAAAAGTTTAATGGGCTTAAAAGTTGTGTTTATTATATATAAATTATAAATTGAGTATATATATATATATATATAATAATAGTTATGTATTATCATATGTTTTGTTTTTTTAAAATTTATGGTATCGTCGTATTTGTGTTTTATCTTACTCTGTCCCGTGTCCCTCTAAACCGACATTTCTATATATAGCTAGATAGACAGAGACGTGCACCATCAAATGGTAGCAAACTTAGTTAATAAGCCTTCTATATATATATATATATATATCTTGTCTCTGGTCATCTGCTTTTGAATTAGGTAAGAACAAAGTACCAAAATGACATCTATTGAGGAAATCCGCAAAGCCCAGCGAGCTGAGGGTACGGCTACCATTCTGGCCATTGGTACTGCAACTCCATTCAACTGCGTCAGCCAGGCCGACTATCCTGATTACTACTTTCGAGTAACAAACAGCGAGCACATGATCGAGCTCAAAAACAAGTTTAAGCGGATTCGTATATTAAAAGACATATGTATATATATGCCGTACTATATTTACGTACAGTTCATAAACGGCTTTAATTTATATTTCCTTTTAAGTATTGTCCAGAAAGAAAAATAACAGTCGATTGAAGCTAGAACATGCATGCATACGAATCCTTAGTCTTTGCTCACACAGTCACACTGATATCTTTTTCAAGTTCTCCTTTGAGCAAATGCTGTTTGAATATTTGCCAATATATATATTGCGCATGTATAGTGATTTGTCATGGCTGGCATACTTAACATGTGCATGTGCTGAATGCCAATTAATGCTAGCTAGCTTAATATTAATTTATTCATTTATTTTCAGTATTTATTTTGAGACTTATATACGTGCAGGTGAAAAAACAATGATCAAGAAACGTTACATGTATCTGACCGAAGAGATGCTTAAAAAGAATCCCAATATGTGTGCTTTCATGGCCTCATCCCTCGATGCCCGTCAAGATATGGTGGTGGAGGAAGCACCTAAGCTCGGCGAGGAAGCTGCATCAAAGGCCATTCTAGAATGGGGCCAGCCAAAATCGAACATCACACACCTTGTATTTTGTACAACCTCGGGCGTAGACATGCCTGGTGTGGACTATCAACTCGCTAAGCTTCTCGGCCTCCCACCGTCCGTCAACAGGGTGATGATCTATCAACAAGGTTGCTTCACCGGTGGGATCGTTCTTCGTGTGGCCAAGGACCTGGCCGAGAACAACAAAGGAGCGCGCGTACTTGTGTGTTCTGAGATCACTACCATCATCTTCCGTGGGCCCTCCGAGACCCACTTGGACTCTCTTGTGGGCCAGACACTTTTCGGTGATGGAGCCTCTGCTATGATCGTTGGTGCAGATCTTGACATGTCGATCGAGCATCCACTGTTTCAAATTGTGTCTACGTCACAGACAACTCTACCCGACTGCATAGAAGCCATGAAACTATGTGGGTGTCACATTTTAGAAGCTGACATGGCATGATGACAAGTCAATACGACCATAGCCAAATCCTCCGTGGCAATTTTAAAAGTCAAAAGTCATGAAGGACCAAACTTCGAGCACCCTAAGCCCTGGTATCGCCCCAGGCCTATCAAGTCTCGAAAGATCAAATTTCGAGCACCCAAAGCCCTGGCATCGCTCCAGGCCCATCAAGCCTCGAAAGATCAAACTTTGAGCACCCAAAACCCTGGCATCACTCCAGGCCCATCAAGTTTCAAAAGATCAAATTTCGAGCACTCCAAGCCCTGGCATCGCTCCAGGCCCATCAAGCCTCGAAAGATCAAACATCGAGCACCCGAAGCCCTGGCATCGCGCCAGGCCCATCAAGCCTCGAAAGATCAAACTTCGAGCACTCCAAGCCCTGGCATCGCTCCAGGCCCGTCAAAACTCGAAAGATCAAACTTAGAGCACCCTAAGCCCTGGCATCGCTCCAGGCACATCAAGCCTTGAAAGATCAAATTTCGAGCACCCTAAGCCCTGGCATCGCTCCAGGCCCATCAAACCTCGAGGAGCCAATCCTCGAGCACCCTAGGCCCTGGCAACGCTCCAGGCCCATCAAGTCTCGAGAGACCAGCTCTCGAACGCCTCGAGTCCTGGCGTTACGCCAGATAATATCACTTCGAAGGATTGGAACCTAAGGAGGCTCGCAATTAAAGGATTGCGTATAACATGAAACAAAGGTAGGGCCTTCGTTGCTATAAGGAATCTATGTTTGGGAAACTTAGGAGGATCTTAGATTGGTGGATGAGAAGTCAAGAGGTGCCTTCGCTCTCAGCAAGGCCCGATTAACAAGATGATGGGATTATACATCTCATGACAGCAAACCTTAAAATCACATTTAATGCTATGTCAGGCTTGACCAACCGATGACCAAACAACATTTAATGCCCCTGATTAAGGGAGAAGTGACATGGCAATGTATGACAAGGCTCGAGCAAAGGATTAGACCCTTCAGACTCTTAAATCTCCAGGATTATTCACGTAATCCAGATCGGGAGTAATGCATGCGAGGAACCATGTGTAATACCCCTAATTTAAAAGGATAGACTTGGAATTTATTTAATTGTTGAAGTTGCTTTTTTATTTATTTAATAGTGAATTTGTTTTGATTTAATTGTGAATTAATTGTAAATTGTTTGATTTGTTTTAATTGAATTTTAAATTATTTAATTGTTTATTTGAATTGCTTGTTACTTGTTTAATTATGTGTTTAAGTTACATGACTTGTTTAATTGTTTTATTAAATTAAATTGTTTGATTTGTTTGCATTATGTTTTCTTTAGTAGAATTTATTGTTTTCCTTTAATTGAATTGATTATTAAATGTTTTAATTAATTATTAGTTATGAAAATATAATTAGGGTTTTTGTTTTTAGAAGTCACGTTTGTAGTCGACGCATGTTTTAATTAAGTTTTCTCCAGGCCGGTTAGGATTCTGTTAGGGCTTGATTTAATTTAGGTTTTGTATAACTCTATAAATAAACATAATAAAGTTAGGCCTAGGGTTTTAGAACCCTATTCACGTCTGTGGAGGTAGAGAAAGAACAGAGGAGGGATTTCAGTAGGAATCGCCAGAACTTTTGAAGATGACGTAGAGATTTTGAACAAAAGTCTCAAAGGCAAGTTCTAAACCTATCTCTTTCCCTTAGGCTCGTGTTCTTTGCATGACTAATTCAATTCTAGGATTTAATAAGGTTTAAAAATTGAACTGGATTGCATGTTTTAAATGCTTAAAACTGAATGTGTGTTCAAGTTGTTTAATGTTTGTATTAAATTCTTCGTTGCGTAATTTCTGTTTTAATTCATGTAAGTTGATGAGTAATGATTTTAATTAGTTCTATACCATGTTGGGAATCACTGGAATTAATTTAGTTTGAAAGTTTGGTGTGTTAAAACAGTTGGGGTTCGGGAATGCATAAACTGCTCGTATTAAACTCTTGATGCAAAATTCATGCTTTAATTGATTTTGGTAACTGAATAAAGAATTTAGTGGATTCTGGAATAAGTTGGAACCTGATTTAAACACTTACGAACCCTAGGTATGAAGGTCAGTTCATCGGAAACTCACCGGAATTTAAAACGATGAAGAACAGAGAGAGAGATATGGTCCATGGCTTAGAAATACCACCGATGCAAAATCCGACCCCCCAACGGGCAAAAAGGCAAAGATGAACAAGAAAGGGAAATTTGAAAACCAAAATTAACAAATGATTTCAAATTACCGTTTGGCCCTTGGCCACATTTCATACATGATTAATGAGACCCTATGGAAGAATAAAAATGGAATTCCCACACCCGATGCAAGCATAGTGAAGCAATGACTCGGCATTTTCCAATATTTTCATAATATTTCTTGAAGTTAAAAGTTACATAGAATACAATATAAATGTCATTGGCCTCCAGCCTCATCCATACATGTTAAATACATTGAACAAAGTATACTCATGTATACATTACATATATGGAATCAAATATACACATTTTGACATATAAGGCTACAAATAGGATTTCATGCCAACATTTACAATAAATGAGAACTTCAAGTTTACAAATAATCCAAGCATGATGTGAATCCCAAATCTTGATCCCGGTACCTGAAAAATGTCCCCACTACGTGGGTGAGTAACATAAAGCTACTAGGAGATGAGCATGCATCGACCTAGCATTTTACAATTCAATCACCTTAGGTGAAACATGTTAAAGGGGCTCATGCCACCTAACGTCTATGTCAAAGTGAGACTTAGGGATCATCCTAATCTACTCATGCAATTGAAATGAACTACGGCATACAAGTATACATGCTCAAGTACACTAAACCGTA